TTAAAACCAAGGAGTTTTCAATTAAAAAGATTTTAACATGACAGGAACAGTGGAAATATTCCATTCCCGATACTTTTAGTGCAGCCGAGGTACGGCGGTTGTCTGCTAGATGGAGCGACGAACTGTCAGATTTTAATGGGCTGCGATGATGATGAACATGGTGAAAATTTTATATAACCAACCAAAAGAAAAGAAAAATTTAAAAACCTTTTTAAAAAAACTGGTTTAAATTTAATCGTGCACGAGATAGGAGCGGTAGGTTTGTCTTTTTTTTTTTCAGAATTGTTTTATCAACACAGTTTGGGTAAACAAGGTGATTAAGCGTGATTATGGTGTGCGGGTTCGATACCCGATTATAGACATTTTCGGTTTATGATTTGGCGGTTACGGATCGAATATCGGCGTGTAAATATAATTAATGGCGTTGGGACGTTTGTTTTTGGCATTTGAAAGTAATTTCTGATACCTTGTTAAGTTGTTAGCAGAATAAATGGAAGCTATTCTTAGATATTTGTATTTATTTTATAAATATAAACGATACGAAAGAAAATTTATAGAATAAGGGTAACTAATGGGCACACAGTCCACTTGATCATAAGTGGATACGGTGGCCCATAGGCATCTACAATGCAGTTGCCACCCCTGAGGACTAAGATGGAATGCCTTGTTTTCAGTATAAAGGGTCTCCGGTTCTCTACGCTCACCATACGAAATTCAATAGCATTAAGATGCTATTTCACGCTGATATTATGTGAAAGCGTGGACCTGCCCCGGTAGAGCTGACCCATACGTGCAACAACCGTGGTTCTACCACGTAAAACAATCCAAAATTTTTAGTTGTAATATTATATATATATATATATATATATATATATATATATATATATATATATATAATATAAAACTTGGTGACAACCAAACTTGCAGTTGACCTAAAGTGATAGAGACGGCACGAGACTTAACTGCATATTAAAATTGAGTTTAGTTTGAGTGTTTGGACATAAGTTTGTTAACTAAGTTATTGACCGCTGCATTCTTTAATTTTATAATAATAATAATAATAATATAACACTTTCACAATATAAGAGCTGTGGTAGCTCAGATGGTTAACGCTCGCTGTAAATTTCACAGTACGCGAATTGCAATTTTAAGTGCTTATTTACCACGTGCTCGATTGTGGATTGGTGATGGATGGTCTGAGAAATAAGAAAAAAAGTTTAAAATATAAGTGAAGTTCGCCAACATGCAATGGGGCATATACTAGAACTTATAATATATTAAGAAATAGCAAACAAGCTTTGGCAATAATTGAGAACACTTCGAAAAATCAACTTAAAAAAAACTAACTACACTACTACTATATACTGATACTAAAATCGACTAAAATATTTACTATAATATCAAGTGTCCAAATGGCGTCGTTAAAGTAGAGCCTACAGAAATGCCTGTGGGCCTTATCATTTAGATTTCTGTGGTAGAGCCCTTTTGTCCTTTAGTTATTTGATTGACCGATGAAGAGCTATCGTATCACAGAACCATCTATGCAAACAAGGCTGTAGTTTCCGAGCTATGACAAAGTGACCATAACTGGCTGAATATATTACCCTCACGTACCACATAACACTTTCGTTTTAAAAAAAAAACAGGCAAATTAAATTACAACTGTTGAACATACCTCTCCTTCATAGATAGCCTTATAGGGTGATGTTCGTTATAGTTAAAATGCTTTGCAGGTGGGTGCCATGCTTGGCAACCTTGCCATGGTTGGTGACTTTTTATTAGCTTAAGTCGTTACCAGGAAGATGATGCTGCCCATCTCCTGTTTCTTACCTCCAGTCGCCTCATGAAAAACTACGTGATGATATAATAATATATAATAATGTCCCCAAGATTGAATTACATCTCGGCGGCCTGCCTCAACGGAGACTAGCCATCGGCACAGGGCAAGATTATAGTGCCAAAGTGTATGCGCAAGCACAGGTGCACTCTTTATTCCCTCACTCTCATAATTCGATGGGACGATAAACCGACTGATAGGCGAGAGATCTGTCGCAGGACCAACGGTTTTATGTGCTTTCCGAGACCCAGGGGGGGGGGAGGGAACACCGCTAACTTCTTGACGACGAATTTCTTAACGGAAAAACTCAATAATTGATTTTTGGCCCAACCCGGGTTCGAACCAAGGACCTCACGATCACAACCACTAGACCAACTAGGCAGTCATGATATAAGATAGTGATATAAAATAATTTATGAAATATCCGTTACTTTTACCGAAATTTTTTACTTTTTGTAATTAGATAAAATCGTATAATCTAATTAAATTGAATAATATATAGGTATAATAGATAAATATATGGAGCACTGTAAAAAATTACAGTAAGAAACAGTAAGAAGCTGAAAAGTGAAGACTAGATAAAAAAATATTTTACTACAAAAATGGACGCCGCAAAAAATGGAACGGTTATTTTTGACTCCATTTTTTTTTCATTTCTAAGCGCAGATTGAGTAATATTGTAAAAACCAATAGAGGGCGTGAATAAAAAAAGAAAGTCTTTGATTTGATGTATGTTCAGAGTACCAGCGATCAGAGACAACACAAAGTTTTTTAAAAAGAACTTTGCTGTATGATAATTTATTGTCTTGTTAAAACTTTTTTGTGTAAAATTAAAAAAAAATAACCAAAGAAAAGTAGTTTTAAATCATCTTTAAATTTATAGTATCATCACCAGTACCCGGATGACCGAACCGAAAAAAAATAATTATCGCCAGGTTCGCCCACCTATTTACAAAAACTTTGAATCAAAATAATATCAAATTTTTAGTATTTTAATTATGTATGTTAGTATATCGTCGGCAACCCGCTTCCCGCTGCGCTCTTAGAACCAACCTACACTCGCGACCTACACTCAGAAGCGAGGGATCGCCATAAATTTAAAGGGTATTGAGTTATTATTTTAACAACCATTAAGTCCATACCGTGGATTAAGGGATTCAGAGGCTTTGAACGTCAGACTTTAGGTGTAACCAAACATTAGGAGTTAATGGATAAGAGTAAAAATCTTACGAAAGTTTATTAAAGCTTTTTTCAGTTCAAAAAACGCACAGTCTGCTTTTTTGTAGCTTAACAATCCACTAGTTCATAGGAGGGAATATTTTTAATAGTTGTAAACTTGGGAGGCTGTCTTTCAACCGCGTTTTTCTTATATTGTTGTTATCAGTATGATGCTGCTACCCGTCTCTCGTTTTATTTCACTCAGTTGAATCTTACGAGACCTTAGCACTCATCCTGAGTGGCATTCCTATTTGGAATATATCATACCAAACAAGTTTTTTAGGCTGGATAGTACTTATCTGCATTTTTAACAATTTATTTTTTATATAATGTTATATTAAGTTGCCAGTACCCACCAAATTTCGAAAAGAAATTACATCTAAAAATAAATGTCTTTTTACATTTGGCTGAACATGTGTCAGCGAGAGTAAAACTAATTTTTTTTTAAATAAAACATCTGATTAGCCATTATTTCATAACAGTTACGCTACGGCACTAAAGAATAATCAAAATAAGGTATAGATTAACAAATAAAATACTTACAAGTTATAAAGATACAGTAAAAAAGTGATTATGGCGTTAAAATTGGGGCGAACAATATAGCACCAACGGCGGCTGATTTAATTGGGTTTGGCGAAAAGACCTGGTGAGAGGAAGGCGCGCATTCCCCTATCAAAGAGCATGCGGCGCACAAAAACAGACGGTACAAATTCAACTTAACCTTTAGCTACACGCGTTATTTTTGGTACCGTTCCGTCACGGGCGGGGTCCCGTCGGGGGTCGGGGGATTTTTTTCAAATTAGATTTTAGATTATAAGAAAAGGCACACTATTGTTTACAAAAAGTATTTATTATTCTTAAAAAAGTCAGTCTCTTGATAATGAGAAACAATTAAATATTAACCACTCGTACTTAGAATTTTTTCAAGGCACTTAACAAATACGCTAAAATTTTACAAAATAATCAACTTTTGAGAAACTTATTGTTATTTTTCTATAATATAGGAACTGTAAACATGTAATTAGAACAAAAATTAAAAATAAACATATACAAAAAAAAATTACAACGCCTCAATATTGCTATGGAGCAGTAACGTTAAAAATTAATCATTGCGTTGGCATGGTAAACAGTAAGTAATTGCTATAGAATGAGGCTTGCAAATAGTTTTTTTTGCAAGATTTGCAAACAATAGTACTCTCTTTTTGTCTTTTGCCCTTGGGCAAATAAAGCATCTACGCTTCATTTTTGGGGCACTAGGGCCAGCTTCATCGGAATTAGCCAAAGGCTGCTCTTTGTCAATCAACTTGCACATTATTGCGTTTATATCTTTGGTCAAGGTACACATGAATAATTTCAATACTTCAGATCCAAGGCATCTACACCTCTTTTGGTACTGTTACACTTTTCTATTATTTCCGGCTTTTAGACTGCTCGTTTACTAATATGTCATGGTGCATAGAAGAAAGTAGAACTACGCTCTTGTTTTTTTTTTGGTATGTGTGATACCAATATTTTGTAACTTACAAATCCGAATAATGATGATTCCACGGGCCTTGTCTTGTTAGGTAGAAATTCTTGTGGAATTTCCCTCTTATTTTTCCGCAGTGTGCCAACATATGTTAGCCCTTTTTATAAGAGAATATCCACCAACTCGACAGAAGTATACCAACTATCTCCAGTGATGTTTCTGTTTGATCCATACAACGGTTCAGTAAGCTATAGAATCATCTTGAGTTGGCACTGATAGTGAAGAATTTCTTTGAGTTAGAGGTTTTCCTGTGTATATAAATATATTGTACAGGTATCGAGATCTTGCGTCACACAAACATTGCACTTTCAATCCGTACTTTCCCCATAAAGATCGAACGTCTTCGTGATTTGACTTAAAAATCGCGGAAAGTAAAAGTAATCCAAAGTAAGCTCGTAACTCACAACTATCAATGTTTTAGGCGTAGTAGGGCCGCACCAATGGTGGAATATATTTAGCTTCTAGTTTTTGATTAGTATACAATACTATAGCTTGGATAATGTCGTCGGTAATCAAAAGTTCCCAAGTTTCTACTAGTGACATTTCGTTTTTACTAAGGGCAGGTCCTTTCAAACCAGCGCACTCTTCGATGATGTTGTGCTGTCGAATACGAGACGGATGTGGAGGTGTCTTGCTCCATTTGTATCTGTTTTTACCGTAGAAATAATTTCTCATTGTTTCCTCTTCAGATTCACTTGCGGAGGAGTCGTCACTTTGCTCTATTTCGGACACAGAATCATGTTCACTGTATATAGTTTCCTGGTATTACTAGTTAATGTGCTGTTTTTTATTTTGAAATTTTTCAAGTTATCATTACGATTATTGAGTTTTATTCTGAATTTTATTGAAAAGGCATTCACATACAGTTGAATCCATAACTTCCGCAGCGTTCTTATGCTCGTATTTTTACATTCAGTCACAACACACCAATGATAAAGAGGATAACTCATTATTAAACACCCAAAAATAATTTATACCTTAAAAAATTCTTTAAAATCCGCAAAATCTTAGGGAAGTGACATCACAAGCTTAGCCGGCGTTTTGGGGTGCAAGTTTAAAACGATAATTTAAAGATTTTTTTTGGCACTATTAGGTTTTAAAGAAATTATATAAAAATTATGGCGGTTCATTACCACTTTAGGTTTCATTTAAAATACTATTTGAAATAGGGTTTAATACCCTATTGTTTTCCATTGGGTATACAATGTTATTGTATCCTAATACCATCCAACTTAAAAAAATATAACAAAATACCTAAGCAGATTCTTTTGTTTTACAGCCAGAGGAACCTCATTTTACCGTGTAGTGGCGGTTGAGAATATCCACTACCCCATATCTTCCCGTGGGTGTCGTAAGAGGCGACAGAGGGAGACAGGCAGGAGATGGGCAGCAGCATCTTTCTGATAACAACTGTGTTATAATAAAAAACTGCAGTTGCCAACCCGCTCGCCAAGCGTGGCAACTATGGCAAATTTCCCCCCAAGAATAATGACGGAAAAAAACGGCTCCCAGTCCCCGGCGGCCCCGCTATTCCTGGCTACGGTGGCGACCAATGGTAACGGTGCGGCAGGGGGTGCTAAGAATCTCCGGTGGAGGTTCGGTTGCCACTTACGACGACTCGACCTGGCAACATATAACGCACGCACTCTGAGGACTGACGAGAAGATACTGGAGCTGGAAGAGGAGCTAGACAATTTGCGCTGGCATATTATTGGATTATCCGAGGTCCGAATAGAGGGGGGGGATACGGAAATCCTCGAGTCCGGCAACTTGTTCTACCACCGGGAGGGCGACCATCTGTCCCAAGGAGGTGTCGGATTTATCGTCCAGAAGTCTCTCGTCAACAACCTTGTAAAAATTGGGAGTGTGTCGACGAGGGTCGCGTACCTGATACTCAGAATCACCAAACAGTATTCGCTGAAAGTCATACAGGTTTACGCACCAACCTCGGCACATCCCGATGAGGAGGTGAAGGAAATGTATGAGGATATCTCCAGAGCCATGCATTCCTCCAAAACCCACTACACGGTGTTGATGGGAGACTTCAACGCAAAACTAGGCACAAGAGAAAGCGGTGAGCTGAAGGTGGGGAAATTTGGAGTAGGGCAACGGAACCGAAGGGACCAGCAGCTGGCCGACTTTATGGAGAAAGAGGGACTCTTTATGATGAACTCTTTCTTCCAGAAGCGGCCCCACAGGAAGTGGACCTGGTCGAGCCCTGACGGTTTGACAAAAAATGAGATTGACTTCATTATGACTACCAGACGCCATCTGTTCAGTGATGTCTCAGTGGTCGCAAGGGTGAAAACTGGCAGCGATCACCGAATGGTTAGAGGCACACTGAATCTAAATGTTAAGTTGGAGAGGTCTCGTCTAATGAAGTCAACGCTCCGTCCCCCTCGTGCTCTAATCCAGAATCCCGAAACCTTTCAGCTCGAGTTACAAAACCGCTTTCAGTGCCTAGAGGATTGCAATGCAGTGGACGATATGAATGACAAGCTCGTGGAAACTGTCCATGCGGTCGGAGCTAAGTTCTGCAAGACCCGCCGCAGAAGAACACAATTCTATGGACAGCTGTACACATCATCGTTGGAGCCACACGCAAGTGTGAGTAACGGTCCAAGAGCAAGTCTTATCCGACACTATTCCGATGATATCCCGGACGTCAGTCTGAGCGAGATTAGAATGGCTCTCCACCACCTTGAAAACGGCAAGGCCCCGGGCGAGGATGGAATTACAGCGGAGCTTCTGAAAGCGGGTGGAACACCGGTACTTGAAGTCCTTCAGAAGCTCTTCAATTCGGTCCTCCATGGTGGCACTACTACGGAGGCGTGAAGCAGAAGCGCGGTGGTCTTGTTCTTTAAGAAAGGCGACAACGCTCTCTTGAACTACAGACCGATTTCCCTTCTGAGCCGCGTCTACGTGTTGTTTTCGAGAGTCATTACGAATCGTCTCGCACGCAGACTCGACGACTTCCAGCCTCCCGAACAAGCCGGTTTCCGAAAAGGTTTCAATACCATAGACCACATACATACCCTTCGGCAAATTGTACAGAAGACTGAAGAGTACAATCTGCCACTTTGCCTTGCGTATGTGGACTATGAGAAAGCCTTTGATTCCGTCGAAATTTGGGCGGTGCTACAGTCTCTTCAGCGGTGCCTAATTGACTGTCGGTATATTGAAGTGCTGAAGTGTTTGTACAGTAGGGCTACGATGGCTATCCGAGTACAGAACCAGAGTACGAAACCTATCCAACTGCAGAGAGGTGTAAGACAGGGTGATGTTATATCCCCGAAACTCTTCACCGCTGCGTTGGAAGACGTTTTCAAGCTACTGGACTGGAAAGAATACGGTATTAACATCAATGGCGAGTACATCACTCACCTTCGATTTGCCGACGATATAGTTCTTATGGCAGAATCGCTGGAGGACCTTAGCACTATACTCAATGACCTCAATGGTGTCTCCCAACGGATAGGTCTTAAGATGAACATGGACAAAACAAAGATCATGTTTAATGTCCATGTCACACCTATGCCGGTAGTTGTTGGGAGCACTATGCTCGAAGTTGTTGACGAGTACGTTTACCTGGGACAAATAGTCCGACTAGGTAAATCTAACTTCGACCGAGAGGTCAATCGACGGATTCAACTCGGCTGGGCAGCGTTCGGGAAATTACGACACATCTTCTTGTCAGGTATACCTCAATCTCTGAAAACTAAAGTGTATAACCAGTGCGTGTTGCCAGTGATGACTTACGGATCTGAGACGTGGTCCTTCACCGCTGGCCGTATGAGGACGCTCAAGGTCGCTCAGCGAGCTATGGAGAGGGCTATGCTCGGAGTTTCACTGCGTGATAGACTCAGAAATGAGGATATCCGCAGTGAAACCAGAGTGACCGACATAGCCCAATGGATTAGTAAGCTGAAGTGGCAATGGGCCGGCCATATAGCTCGAAGAACCGATAACCGATGGGGAAGAAAGGTTCTCGAGTGGCAGCCTCGTACCGGTAGGCGTAGTGTAGGGCGACCCCCCACTAGATGGAGTGACGACCTGGTAAGACATGCAGGAAGTCGATGGATGCAGGTGGCTCAGGACCGTGCTTTGTGGTATTACTTGGGGGAGGCCTGTGTTCAGCAGTGGACATGTGAAGGGCTGTAATGAATGAAAAAAAAATTACATTTTGAATATGTTTGAGATCTGTGGACCTTCACTACTGGTGAAGGACCGCGCTCTTACAGATGACTAGATAATTAGGTGATATGAGAGTGAGGGAATAGAGAGTGCGCCAGTGCTTGCGAGCGCAAGCATATGCGCACTCTCTATTCCTTACTCGTGTACTATAATCCTGTCCTGCACAGACGGTCTCCGTTGAGATTTCCACCGTGAACGAAATTTAGTCTGGAGGACATTATTATTACTATATCATTAGGCTGAATGTGTGTTAATATGCTTATTCCTTTCACAAATGAAAAAAAAAACAGTACAATTCACGTCGGTATATTTTAAGCGTAGGCAGAGAATTTGTCTACGATTCTAAGTCTATGCTACAATTACATAATCTATGACGAGCCAATCACCAATTGATGATTTATGGCGCGAAGGTTATTCCGGCGGATGTTTGTTTAATCGATTACAGGCTATTATGACGGTAGCCTTGTTCGAGTGTCGGCGCCTGATGGTGCACTGATTGGGCCATTTTGTTTGCTTTTCGGGAATCGGGGTTTATTATTTGATGGAAGATATTAATGGGAGTGAATTTCGGTGTAATACTTTATCACGGATATGGTTCTAGAATTGTTTCGAAGAACTATGTAGCATTTGTACCTACATGATGTTATAGATTTTAAAATAGACTAACGAACTGCCGTGGCTTCGCCTGGGTATCTGGTATCTATAATACAATAATGCCACATTAGGCAATATTTAGATTTAATATTTAAGATAATTAAAAAACTTTTACTTTAAAAAAATTTTTTCGTAAAAATTCGATGATATTCGAATAAAATATAACCTAGAACGCTCCTGGTAAATTTCATTATAATCGGTTCAGCTAATCCCATGATTAACCCGAACAGGCTGAATAACAAAATTTAAAAAAAATGATTTTTCATATCTTAATGGCATGCGAATGAATATCGACCTAAACTTAATAAAAGACAGTTCCATTTTATTCATATGCTTAAATAAGAAGTTTTAATTACTTCGGTAGTTTAAAATGACTCAAGTTTTTAAGTTAGTCAAAAACAGAAAAAGAAACTTTTTATTCAATATAGATTATAATCTGTGACGTGGTGCTAAAAGGGTCAAAGTAAGTTTTTTAAGAAATGAGATTTTAAAGCCATATTATTGAAAAAGTATGAAATTTGTTTGTTCTAAAAGGAACTATGTAAAATAATGCAATATGAAAAGTAATGCGCAAACAAATTTCATACTTTTTCTTTAATATGGATTTAAAATTTCATTTCTTAAAAAAATTACTTTGGCCGTTTTAGCACCGGGTCACAGAAATAATACTTATTGAAAGTCACTTTTTTAATTTTCCACTAGTTCGGAAAAACCTATGTCCTGGGAAGGACCAGCAAGAAACCCAGTGGGACTATGTTTTTAAATAACAGTTTACAACCATGTATGTTACAATTAACAACACAAAACAAATTAGTTAGTCGTTATTA